TTGCACAAGAAAATACGTCCGTCGTTGTCTCTGAAGGTGTGGGACTAGGTTTAATAATGGACACGAAACAGATTTAACTCCCCCATTTTATGACTAAGCCAGAATCGTACCGCAACGTTGTAGCTAGACCCTAAATTAGTAAATGTTCCCAGAATTTGTTATAAAAATGTATTACTTTGCTAAGGTAAGTATGCTTTATCCTAAGTTAGTATATCGTAGGCAAACTAAGATCTCTCATGCTGAAAGTCTCAAAATTATTTATCAGAGCTGCATTTCATCTAATAAAACTTTTGATCTAATCAAACTTTTCGAAGATTCCTCATATAAGTCTAGTAACCTAGTTGTATTCTAAAAGTTAAACGACTAATACTTCCATACGTATTCAAAAGCAAATAATAAAGAAATTCGGAAAATCCAAAGCCTTGAATCCAGTATCCCGGGACAAATGTATAAGTAGATCTATGTAAGTACGTTAAGTCTAATAAAAAGAAATCCATTATTCTTCCAATATATGGCTTTATATTATATAAGAGCGCTTACTCAATACTTAGTTAGAAAAATAAGACTTCGTACTAAAATAACCACTCAGAAAGTTCTATGGTTGAATTAGTAAGTACTGATTGAACAAGCATCAAAGAAAGACACCAGCAAGTTGAAAATTTGCCGAAAAACGAAAGCGATTGAGGTCGAGTCGCGATGAGCCGGCGCAAACTGGCCCCAAGCGAGGCTTGATGGTAAAAGCATTATCAACTATACCCCTATGACTTAACTCTTAAATTGGATGTCTGGAGAAAGCAATAGGCCGAAGACGTAGCGGAATTGTGTTCCATTATTACAACGCCAGGACCACACTTTATCGAACAAATTATAGGATATTTTATCTCAGTCTTAGTCAGCTAATTTTAACCATACTAAATCATACTTTAAATCTAATAGTCCAACTCTTCTCGCAATTCGCCGAATCGTTGAAAATTTTGAACATATATTTTGCTTAGATGATGTTCAAGTGCCGCGAAGACAATGAACCGCTACATGTAATGAAAATATAGCTGCCGTTAAGGTAAGTATTGCTGAAGATTCTCCAGAATTGGGACTGTCTCAAACCACAACCTGAGGGAGTTTGAGATATAGTTTGGTCTTGCATCTATATAAAGTTGTTCTCACTTAAAAACTGAAGTGATTGATTGGATGGAATAATCGATGCGTACTTCTTTCGAAATAAAGCTGGTGACACCTCTCAATGGAGAGCGGTATAGATCGATGATAATAAACTTTTTTTTGAAAAAATTGATCTGGGCAACACCTGGTTACACATAGTACGTGCAACAACCGATTTACCAGAAAAAAATGGAGATTGGATTATTTTCAGAAATTGTATTATTGAATCCTCCAAGAAGTTGCGATTTAACACCATTAGACTTCCTGTGGAGTTATTTAAAGTCATTGGTCTTTAGCAATAAGTCAATATTGAATGTGCTATTTATGACGTTCTAGCACTATCAGCCAAGTTAAACTCTACTTATTATTTCAGCGCTACCCATAAATCCCCGACAATCAAAAGTTGTCGGACTTCTAAAGAAGTGTTATAAACTGCTAATTACTATAGATGGTAAGTTTAGAATGGTCTCAGAGCTAGACATGATCTAAGGAGGCAAAAAACATACATCACCAATAAGTGAAGGAAACATAAACTAATACGTAAATTCCCAAAAGACGAAACTCTGAAATCGGTTACTCTGAAATAAGTTTTCATCTTTCAGGAACTTACGTGTTATACTTGTATTACTTTGACCTCATTTATAATCTCAACTAAAAAGCTTTAAACTTTTCCTTGAAGTTTCTTGAAACGCTTCAGAAGTTTAATAATATTTTAAGGTCGTAAGTCAACTGAAAACCGTTGCCGAAACCCAACAAGAATAGCTCAGACGGCATTTTGTATAATTTCTAGATCTGCCAAAGATAAAGAAGCTAAATTTTTGTATAACCTACAATGCAATCACCGTCTTTATATAGAGATCGTCACATGCTCCTTCCTTCCTTCGATCTGAACTTAAGCCACAAATGAAGAAAAATTAAATTAATAGTGAGTTCATCAACAGTAAACGAGTTCATTTCCAAATTAGCATGAACTTCACATAAAACCAATCAGTGCGTCTGAGGGCACACATAAGATTTGTCAAATTGTGACAAATATTGACGACAAGAGCAGCCGTTAAACGGCCGTCAGTGCTTCGCATCTTCCGATGCAGTCAGTTCTCGTGTATACGACCACTCATTTTCTTGTAGCCAACGAGTGTGTCTGACAAGACAGCAACCACGACTGGCAGTAATTCGAGTAGCAAGAATATTTAACGACTGCAACAACAGCAGCGACGGTTTAGTAAAAGCGAAACGCAGTATTGTAGCCCGTAGCCCGTAGGAGTGGCGCTCGCTATACGAACAAATTTATTGGTAGTCCCTTAAGGCTTTGACATATAGTTACCACGAATTATTTTTAGATTTATCGGGCGGTGCTCGCATACGTAGCTTTCGCGTGTTGTTGACTCTTCTGGTTGGCAGGTAGCGGCGATATAGTAAGCTCGGCAGTAACTGGAGCCGATGGCAGCAATTCGCATCGCGTTGCAGCAATTATGACCTTTTTGTAGCACGTCATAGTTATATACCTAACATGGATTGAAGTTGCAGCGGCAGAGATTGCAACAGGTACGTCTGCCATTTTTAGCTGCAGCACAACACATTAAGTGAACTTGTGGAACACTAGAGCTCGGCTAGCTGGCAGAGTGTCCAGCCCTATTACTTATTGCGCGTTATTTTAAGCAATCGGTAACTTGCATTCTGATACTTCTGCATCTGTAACGCATCTCTTCAACCACTTTTGACGCTTCCAAGCATCAGGTTCTTCAAGCTTCAGACAACGCAATCCTTCGTGGTAACTATTAAGATCGCGTAGAAGCTTGCAAACAGTAGCCACTACATTGTCTTCGCGGCTAGGCGTATGAGTCTACGAAAATCTCGATGGCAGTAGCGCTTTCTAACAACGCTCAAGGACACGGCTCTAGTAGTCTGTAACTGTAATGTTGTCTCATCGACTTGACGTCGCTGCCAGCCGTATATTACGCCACTTGGTCTGTAATCAACTGACGGCAGTTGATTTTGTTACAATGCCTTGATTTATTTTTAATAGTGCGCCTCTAGCCGAGCCAAGGTATTCTAGCTGCGGCTAGCTGTTGTTTTGCTCACTCGTACAGCAGTTTGGTCGCATAGTAGACGCACTGTTGAAGAAATATGTTGTTAAAGAAATATGTTATTGTTGTAGTGGACACAGTTGATTTCAGTTAACGATCCAATCAACTTTAAATCCTGGAAATAATAGCTCTAGTTCGCGTAAAATCCGTCTTGTTCCGGTAACGTTGAAAGACTGTTGTGCCGTTTGGGTTCCAGCAATATCTTCTTGTTTGATTGATAACAAACTAGACAGAGGAAGTTCCTTAAAACTTGCGGTCTCTATATGTATATCTTAAAGCCTTCGTTTTTTCAAGTTTCATCGTCTTCAGTTTCTTCTTTTTCAGTCTTTGTATGCTCCTAAACTGTAGTCTACTTCGATGAGTTTGAAAATCGACATATTGATCCAACTTCGGGTCTGGGATGGACCTAGGCTTCTATCTGCCTATGGACAAGCCTACTCGAAAGCCTACTCGAAAGCAAAATATTATTCCGATAATGATTGCTCTTGGTACTAAAACACAACATCATCTGTATATACTTTGCTGTATCAGAGAAGTTATATACCGGTTCCCATTTTCAAAGAGATACCAACACAACAGATACTGCTTAGTTACTAATTGTATAACCTTTTGCCTCAAAACATCAAACATCAACAGCCTGGTTGGAAACACTTAGATCGGAAGGCTTCCATTTAGTTGACTTCTTTTGGAAGTTATTTAAAGTTGAAAGTCATGACTTTCTTTCTTCTCATAAAAGGAAATCGACTGAACAAACATTAGGAAGTTGACCTTTTCGAGTTGTCAGCCCTGTGTCGCTGTTCGGCCCTAATTAACTCGAATAGTCAAATATGGGTAAGTGGACATATGCTAGCAACCTTTCCTAATCTCCTACCCAGTCCTAACAATATCGCTGTTCCAGGCCTTCCCTAAATAACTTGGATTATAATTTTATGTCACAAAGGAAATATTATTCGGACGGGAATGAGATGGAGAGTTCGGGGGGGCATAAAATGATATCTAAGCTCAACATTTCTAGCTAGTCTCGTGCCACGACGAAGAGACGAATTCCTCTGATAAATTTTTTTCAAGGGTTACGAAAATATCTGAACGCTGGTTAGATCTTTGCTTTTAAGCGATGATCACTCTAGATGAAGTCAACGGAGTTTACTTCTTAATCAAGTTGCAATTTTAAATCTCTGGCTTTACTTCTCACACAGATCTGGTTTTCAAGTGGATTTTCTAAATATTATTTCTGCAATCTTCACTCAGTTGATATTTTAGCTTACAGTGTGCGATGTCATTTTTGAAACCCCCACCAGCCGAAAGCTAACCTCCGAATCACCAAAAGTATAACCGCCAGAGTGGTTCATCTAAAAAGTGCGCTTTATCATTCTATCATTTGTGGTCTCCCTTCCACTCACCACTGACACTGACTAATGAATCGCCACCGTTGTTCCGCTATAACGCTACAGGTGTTGTGTACTTTTCACATGTACTGTTAAGTAGCATAATTTTGCACCTTTTTGTTTGCCATTCTCATTCTTATACCGACAAAAGTATTGTTGCCTTTCAAGCATGCACTTGATTACTAGCTGCAGCTAGCTTGTAGACGATTTAGCTATCGCCCGTATACCTACGAGACGAGCAGATACGAGTAGCAAACGACAACCGACAGTTGCTCGAATTATTCTCGGTTGCTTGTTGTTGTTGTTATGTTCGATCACTTTGTGTGCCAAGTAATTGCCAGTAACACCTGCTTGAGATGCTGCGCCGCCGCTATTGTGACGATGCGGTCGTTGTCGTTGTCGTTGTTGATGGTAATGGTGATGTTAGCGATGACGATGGTGGCTGTGAAGATGGTCGGCGGCGGTCTTCGGGCGGCACAAGGTACTATGTGCAGCAACAAAGGAAAACAATTGATGGCGTACTCATAGATATTCACATATACGATGAGTATATCTTTGAAGTGGGCTTGTGTATACCTTTTTTAAGTGTGTGTGTGTGTATGTATTCACTATCGGCGTCCAAAATGAGAACAGCAATAAATACTACATGCATATAATAATGCAAACAGTCAAAGAAATACATATGAATACTGACATATATATGCACACACACACACATACTGCAGCGCTCGCTGGAGGATGGCACTTTTGGCCTTGGCACAGCTTCAAGTTGCACGTTTTACCTTCATCTTTTACGATACAATTCCAAAGTTTTTGCTTTTGCCACTCGCTGCAACGCTTTATGCTGCTTTTGTTTGGCATTGTTGTTTCAGTTGTTGTTGTTGTTGTTATTTCATAAACATTTTGCTGGTAGGTGGCTCATCACTTCTTTGTTCGTAGATTTTTCCTACAACACTCACTCAGCCCGATTGCTTGCCACCAGCGACTTCACTGCTTGCTATTGTTGTTGTTGCAGTTGTTGATGCAACGTTGTTTATGGTTTGGGTTTTTGTTAAGATATTCGTCGTAAGTTATATTGCCATCATCATTAACGGCGGCATGCAACATTTTACTGCCACTACCATCGTTTTACACTGTTCGGCTCGGTTATTATTGCTATTGCTTGCCGTTTGTTGTTGTTGTTCTTGCTATGCTTGCTGCTATTATACCCTGCAGAGCATATACTAAGTTTGTGATAAAGCCTTTAGCATCAAGAATATGAAGACGGAGGCCCTATTTTGTATATAAAGAAACAGAAGCGGAACGAGCTAAGCCGCTGACCCTCTGTCTGTATATGTACATGCGTATTAATGCTTCAGTTTTTGAGATATTTAGCTAAAATTTAGCACACGCTCTTTTTTACTTCAAAAGCTACTTATTTGTTGGAATCGTCGATATCGGATCACTATAACATATAGCTGTCATACAAACTGACCGATCAAAATCATATCCTTATATGGAAAACTTTTTTATTTCACGAGATATCTTCACGAAACTTAATATAGATTATCAGCCAAAGCAACGGTATAATCTCCACAAAAATTGTTCCAATCGGATCACTACATCATATAGCTGTCATACAAGCTGACCGCTACAAATCAAGTTATTGTATGGAAAACTTTTTTATGTGATTGATTAGCTACACAAAATTTGGCACAAATTATTGTCCAAAGCAACTCGACATTCTCTTAAAGAATCATTTAGATCGGAGTACTACATCATATAGCTGCCATACAAATTGACCGCCCAAAATCAAGAAAAACCTTTATATGCCATTTAAAGCTACAAGAAATGCAACCGTGTAGGKTATTATAGCTTCGCTGCAGCCGAAGTCAAAGTTTAATCTTGTTTCTGTTGTTGTTGTTGCCAGTTGTTCTCTTTACTTGCTGTTTGTTGTTGTACTCCATAGTTGGTTGCCGGTGATGGTGTAGTAAATTGTTGGCAATTGTTTATGTTGTTTGCGGTTGTTGTTATTGCTGCTGTACTGTGTGCAGTTACGTTTACTAACTTAAGACCCGTTGCAGCTATTATTTCGTTATTAAATTGACATCATTCTTTCCACAGCATATTCTCGACAGCCTGTAGGTTTGTGTGTGTGTGTGTGTAAATGTTGTTGATGGCACGGTTGCTCGTGCGGCAGCTTTGGCGGTTTGTAGCCGCCTTGCATCCGTCGGTTAATTGTTTCCTCGACGTAAAAATATTAATGTCAAAAGCATAGCGTCACATTTTGCTGCAATGCGGGCGTTCTCTAGCACGTCTTCCAGCTAAATGGGCTATGCAAACACACACCTGCGCATACCCACATGTGGGCTTTTCGCTTTGATTAGGTGTTGAAGTACTCTTTTTTGGTTCTAAGAAGGTTTTTACATTCACTAGCTGCAGATGTGAATACCAAGCTTTCGAGAGTTGGAATCGCGATATCTCTGTTATTGGAACAGGATTTTACAAAGTGAAAAAAAAATTCACTTATAATATGGTCTATAACCATATTCGGTTATATTACGACAACCCTAATGGCAAAAAATCATATTTGGTACCTGGCCAACCAGCCAAATCATTGAGAAAGCCTAATATTCCTGACGCCAAGGCAACGCTATGTGTTTGGCGTATTCAAAACGGCAAGTCCTGCTAAAATCGGATGAAACCTTTAGTGGGGAACGCTGCCGACTTTAGCTTATTAAAATGACGCGTACGATTGCCGATAAACGCCGGGTATTTACGACTGGACCAGTAATTTTCCATCACTGCAGAGCTCAACCTCAAGTTGCAAGACCGCATGAAAACTATTTGGAAAACAGCGGCTGGCAACTTTTGCCTCATCCACCTCTTAGCCCAGCGCTGGCACCTTTTCGCTAGTATTTGTTTCATTAGATACAGAACGGCTTTCCTAAAATTAAGCTCACGTCAGAACAGGGTATCAAAATCCATACATTGCAAGAGGGAATGGAAAATGGCGAGGTACAGAACGGTGACCAATTCTTTATGAACTCTAAGAAACATCTTGATTGACATCTCTTTACTGAAATAAGTGGCTCATAGTATCTCAATAACAATTCCAATAACTACTATTTTATCAAGAAAAGTCTTTAGTAGGTCGATAAAATTAACTACACAAGTATACATAATCCTGAGCGTGGCGTTCAAGAGAATATTTTTAGAATTTAGAGAAATTCTCTTAAGTAATTAAGTCAAGCAATTCAATTATTGGACTTTCACTAAAGATTTGGTTATGTATAATTACAGCGCAATATAATATCCATTGTTTCAGAACCCTCCGGACCTTTGATATTGTTAAAAGCTAGTAAAAGCTATTATGCATGAAAGACAGACATCGCGGAATCCGAATTGCCAAATTGCTACCAGATAATATTGTTGGAGTAACATTGGCAACGAAAAGGACAAGAAACAAAATATCTTCCACGCCTTTCCAGGCTTAACGCTCAAGGAAATCAGGCGGCCATGAAGAGTGTTTGATTTAACTCCAAGCTGAGTATTGGAGGATTTCAGCAGACATCTTCACGGCTTTTGCTTTTAAAAACCTTGGCCATAACTGCTTGACTGCCTTTATCGACATCGCATTTTATTTTTTTAGACTCACGTTATTTATAGAGAAAATATGCCGAAAGCAACCAGCTAATGGTCATTTTGAAACTTCCACCTTTTCGTAGAACCGTTGATCTAAAAATCTATCATTGAAATCACCGCAACATAAGTTTAGAAAATATTAGAATTATGCGTCAATAAATTGATTGGTCTTATACCTTAGGTATTGTATGTGTTTATTTTTCTTCAAGTGTTCGAAAATATACGAAAGGTTACTAGATCTTTCCAGACTTAAAAATCCAATATTTTGACAACAGATATCTATCTCGCGTTATAGAAATGTGATCGGCTTACCACGTTAGTCGTTATAAAGATGGGGTTTTGTGCTAAAAATCCCCTTGGACAGTTTTATGATTAGGTTAGGTTAGCTCGTAGGGTTGCTGACAAAACAATAAAAAAAAAAAAAAAAAAAAAAAAAAAAAAAAAAAAAAAAAAAAAAAAAAAAAAAAAAAAAAAAAAAAAAAAAAAAAATCTAAAAATCTGACTTGGACAGATAGTGGTACTTTGTGTTACCCATAAACGCCTAATGAATCCACATATCCTCAACGTTTATTGCTTACCACAAATTTATTAGGGCGATCAGTCAATCACAGCAACTTCGCTAGGTTCTCCAAAGATGTGTCTACCGAGATATTTCAATCTCGACTCAATAGCGGCGGAAATAACTAGATAATGCCATCTTGACTCCCTCTATACAGGTTTGGCAATAGATTAGATGCGCATCGCGTGCAAACCCATTTGAGAGTCAGTCCAGTTATCACCCCTATAATTGTGGTGAGATTGAATTTTCTAAGAGTTAGTAGGTCGGATCAAGTTCTGGTCGTTGACAAGCGCCTGCTGACGAGCTTGACTCAATATTGTTTGAGCACGCGTCCAAGATGAGTGAAAATACACCTGGTGACTGCAAATCTTAATTAACGTTACAGACCTTATACAATCAGCCAACGTAACGCAAGAAACTCCAAGTTCCAAATTTCCGTCCGCGAACCGCAATAAAATCGATTCATTACTGAAGTGATCAGAAGATCAGATCACGTAGGACAACGTCTAGCGAAAGCTTGCGTGATCGAAACGCGGTGAGCCATCACAAAGGGTGGTTAACCCTTTGATTGATGGTCTGGTAGGGTTTGCCATATGTTTGGTGGTATTCAGCTGTTCCCTAATGATTAAAATCTTAATTTGGACCTGTACTAACAACAAGTGAGAGAAATTATGTGGCTACAGGAAAACACCAGTTCGCGCATATTGGTAGTGAGACGCTAGACACCCCGGGAGTTTAACGGGAGATTATTATGCACCTAGTAGTTATCGCATGGTTCGCACCTGTTGTTGTTTGAATAATTATCCATCAGAGCAGCTTGCGAAAACCCTGTTGGCAAAAACTGGAACTTGGTTTTCTTGATTTTTTAGAGGAACATCCCCATCAGAGATTTATTACGGATACTAAATGAACATATTTTAATCTTATAAACCTGCTGACGTGATTTAGAGAATCTACTGCTTCTTTAGGTCTATATTTTCTAACAATTTTACCTGGAAATAAATGCAAACTCTAATTGACAGCCGCTATGCCCACATACATGGAGATGTACATATTTAATTACAATTTGTGTTTATTGTAAATCGATCGATGTTTCCCCCTGCGCGTGCAACAAATCACTTAAGCCCATTTACGCAGCCAAACAGCGCGACCATGCAACATGCCAAAATAACGGCGAAAACATCGATTAAACGCCTAATATAAACAGACTCAATTTGCTAGCGACGGCACAGCTAACTAAATTGTATTACGGTATGCATGGACGCATCAACCGCAGCTGCAAACACACGCACACACATACCCGTGCACCTGCATTTGCCAAATGCCACACGCCGCTGCTGAGGCATCCGCCTGCTAGCGGCCAAAAACTAAATAAGTAAATCGCTGAAGCAAAATCAATGCGGGGACGCGGTTTATTGACGCATTGTGCAACGCTGCGGCGACTCCGCTACGTAGACGGATGTTTGTATGTATGGCTGTGTGTATTGTTGGAATATTGGGAATATGTAATTTCAGCACAGTGGGCAGTGGTCGTTGCGTATGCTGGCAGTGGTCCCGCTGTGAGGCTGATTGCGATTGCTACCCGGTCGCGAGGCTGCCAGCTAAACTTCGTGCGGAGTGTGTGTGTGTTTATACGAGAGTGCAACGAAGGTGCGTTCATCTATATCTACAAACTTAAATACCCGCTTATAGAAATATGTATGTCTATACGGGGGTAGTTCGATAATTACTTAACCTCATCATCTGAAAGCGCCACTAACGGAACAGAAATTTACGATTTCACGAGTTTCATAGTGGTCGAACCTTGGTAATTGATGAGTCTCAGTGTTGCGAAAAAGGCTAAAAACGGAGGTTAAAAAACGTCTAAACCATCGACAACCCTAAACGGAACAATCCAAACCAACTCGATTCGTGACAAGCCACTGTTTATATTTTAGTGAGATATTTGAGAGAGTTTGTATCTCAAAAGACCGCGTAATCCATATATTTCATAAAGCATTGGGCATGAGACCGCTGCTGGAATGAAGGGCGACGCATTGGCTCTCTACGGACAGCAAGCGTAACTCTGAGGTCACTTCACGGCAGGATATCGATTAAGCACAATCCAATACACTTGGACAGCTAAGACAGTAAAGCTCCTATATATTGGATTATAAAACCATTAAAAATGGACAAAAAGTATGAACCCATTACAAATTTGTGTCAGTTTCGGATAGTGTCAGCTTTAGCTATGCTTTCTATTTCGTTGTAAGACTTCGTAGGTAAGACTTCCGAGCACTAGCTTACAACATTTTTCATCTTAGAGGAGAGAACACTCGAAACCGTGTACCTTAGCGCCAAATTGGTTCCGAAAGAGAGGAAAGAGCCATGTATTAGCAGTAAAGGGAATGCCCACCGTTTTCAACGAGACTCACAGAGTCTAAACTAAGTACATCTACTGCATGGAGAACATTTACACAGCCGCAGAGGTCTTTAAAGCCGAATCGTTGTGTTGATTAGAAGCCGAAGAATGTCGCCATTTGACAAGAAAAAAGTTTTTTTGTAGCATGACAATGCATCGGCTCACAACCCTACCTTCGCCGCGCACGAATTGGTCGCAATAGGCTGCATACAGCTGACTCATCCTTCGTTTTCTTCCAAATTTGCTTCATACGACTGTTTCTTATTTACAAACATGAAAAAATCTAATGAGGAAACTTTATAAACCTCCAGGGAATATATATTTCAAACGGATTAAAGAAGTTGGAAACTCGCTGGGTTGAGTATATCGAGCTAGCAGAAGGCTATATTTTAAAAATTTTCGTTTCAGTAAACGTTTATCGGACTACCCAATTCTTAGCCACGCCCCAAGTGGTTGAAATGAGCTCAAAACTACTGACAGATTTACCGTTTTCTCCAAATTTTTACTACGTATGACATCCGTTTTTTTCCAAGGTTGAAAAAGACACTCGGCTCGATGAAATGCGAGTGAGGAAACGTTGAGAATATCTAGAAAACATATAGTTCAGACGAGTTAAAGGAATTGGAGACTAGCTCCATAATAAAGAGCTGAAAGGAGTCTGAAACGTTCCACTTTTCCAAAATTTTCGTTTCGCTAAAAATTTATTGGACCTCCCTCGTATCTACTTCTCCAAAGTTAACCCAAGTCATAGGGAACTAACCTACACACCAATTAGAGCGACCACGTGCCCATATGGAAGCCAATGCAACCATAAGAATGTCTGTAAGTGCATGCATCCTCTGTTTGTCCGTCCGTCCGTCCGTCCGTTGGAGCGCTCC